GAGGGGAGGGGAAAAAAAAAGGAGGAAAGAGATACTACGGTGCTTGTCAGAGCATCAGATTAGCATTCCCTTTGTCTCAAAAGAGGGAAACTGCATTTGGCATATAAAAACTACTTATCACTAGAGGTGGGACCAAGTCATGGGGTTTGGGTCCAACTCAGCTTCTCCCAAATTTCAGGGCTGTTTGGATCTGGGAGTTTTGGTTTAGACCCATCTCCAGTGAGCACTGCTATCAAACCTCATGCTAACATGAAAAACCAAGAAATAGACCCTTTCCCTGCACAGGAACCGTGGAACCAACAAAAAAGCTTATGCCTGCATATGTGTGTGCGTGTGTGTGGTGTGATGTGAGTGAAGTGTTACAGTAGAAGCTACTTGGTCGACTAATTCAGAAGTGTGCCTGCCAGTTGTCAAAATATCAACTCACAGGTTGTCACGATGAACCAAGCCTTTGGATTACAGCTCGTGTTTGTCGCAACTCTATGTACAACAGCTGGATTAGAATTTAGCAGGTGGTAAAAGCCAGATGTGTCAAACAACAGCTTCCTAGCACTGTGTAACTTACCTAGATGCTGTTAAGTGGAACTGCTGAGGATGCCGGATGCTTCAAAAGCAGAGTGATGTTCTGCTTCAAGCAAACTTAAGAAAACCTTTTCACTCTTTTCCTATGGACAAACCAAGCCCATGCAATGGGCTCAGTTTTGATTCTACCACTAGATAGATTCACTTCCGCTACATACAGCTGCCGGTAGCAACGATACAAATTCCTCCCCAGCCTTCATTTGCAGAGAAGCCAAAAGCATCTACTTTTCTTAGGTAACAAAAATAAGGTCATGGTGTAGGTTTGGGAGCATTTTGGGAGTAGTTTTATTGTGTTTTTGATGTAGATAGTTAGATGAGTTATGCATACTACACACAGATTTACAGAGAGGAATCTGGACCACATCACTATACCAGACCATGCAAGATTTGAAAAGCTAAGTTGGTCAAGTTTGTGAATAAGGCCTTGTTAGAAGCCACCAGCTCCACCTTCCCTTTCTTGAGCAGCCGGTAACAACTACCTTTTTTCCTCCCCTTCCCCCAAGGAGATGAAAAAAGGGGTGGATTGGGGTGGCTATTAACCAAACTCAAGTTATCAAAACTCACCTAACATCTGGACATTCTCTAGGTTAGGAGAGTGCAGACCCGTCTGATGGGGGACTTGCAAGCAGCCCCCTCGGCTGTGGGGAGCCAGCCACAGAGTACATGCAGGTGTTGTTAACACCCTGAGCCATTGTTCTGTCAGATAAAGTACTGCAGGTTCGCGGGATATTTAGATCAGTGTGAAAGTGTAAATTCTCCACTTTTTTAAATCAAGGCTTCGCTTTGATCAGTGCAAAAAAGTTTAAAAAACCATGTATCTACAGATATACATACGTGTGTCTATATAAAATCTGTACAGCTGGGGAGGATGACTGCCAAGATGCAGGGTGATGTCTGCCTTACAGAGAAAGATGCCTTGAGTCCAATTAGTTATGCCCCAATCTCTTCCTGCATCGGTGTTGCAGTCAGTTAAAAAAAAACCAACCACCCCAAACACCCACAAACAGGCGTTGAGACCAACACTAAAGGCTTTCCTGAACACTCAAGCAAAACCTGAAGAACTGAACAAACAGCAATGATGGAGAACTGGAAAAAGTTGCACTGAAGAATACAAAAATAAATCTGAAGTAAAAGGTACCTGTTGTCTACACAGAATGCATAAGAATTAGAACAAGGTGTTATTTGTACCATGTTAGAAGAGAGACCTCTCTACATAATCCATTAGTCAGTCTTGAGGTCCTTTATGAAGACAGATCCAGTACCTCATTCCCATGTGGGTCACACAGCAAACCTTGCTCTAGTAAGTGTGGATTTGGGAGCCACTAATATCACATCACAAAAGAGGCACAATTGCAACCAACTTTGTTTGAAGTTGAGGCGCCAGAATACAGTATCCTTACTGTAGAGGTAGACTTAACACAGCGTGTTGAGGAGGAGGGTGCATTGCATATCAGAAAAGGGCTTTCATGGGAAAAAGCAGAGATCACGATGGTTTGTCCAGCCAAAGCTATGTTTAAGCAAGTCAGAAGAAGAACGATGCACTCAGCACCCTAAAAGCACACAGGGCATTTTAGCAGCATTTAAATCATGAATCCAGAAGTGTTCTAATTAAAAACAAACAGGCATGCCTCAGCCTCCAGCTAGGAGTCACCATCTTAAACCAGCGACATTCATGAGGCCAGCCATAAATAGGCAACAATGCAGCAGATCCAGCATGAGAAACCGAAAAGGGAAGCGTTTCCCCTCATAGTTAAAGTGTCTTGGAGCTGGATTGCTACCTTCATCAGCAAGCTAGGAGACCGAGTTCTAATTTAGTAGCATATTTTCAAATGCTATTTACATTTTAAAGACAGCCACAAGCATGAACTTTTAGAACTCCGTGCGGAGGGGGAGGAAGAGGTAAAGGGTTGGCAAAAGACTATTCTCATAACTTTGAGCAATTCCAACTGGAATTCTCATCCAGGAAAAAAACAAAAAACAAACAAAAAAACACCATTAAAAAACAAACCAAGCCAAGGATAACCTTTGAAAGGCTGGATCTAGTAATCCTTATGCAAATAAGACTTCTACTGAAGTCAGTAGTAGTTTTGTTTGCATTGTGACCAATGGTGGGACGTGGTCTGAAACAGACTCAGCATGAAAGAGGAACCACTTGCACATTTTGGAGGAGGAGACCCACACATGCAAACCCAGAAGGTTAGTAAACATGCTCGATTTCCAATAGACAGCACATGAGGGAGCAATGCTTGGTTTCTGGACTGAAGACTCCTCCTGACAGCACCAGACATATTACAAAATATATTAGATCTTTTTATTGTAAAGTATACGGACCAAAGCTAGTGTTCAAGACACGATACCAGGAAAAAAAACTACAAAAAATATTTAAGGAAGGTAAAGCTGTAAAGAATTTTTTTTTTTTTAAAAACAATCTTTGCAACTGCTGACATCTGGATTCAAGGAATCAGCGTTTTAATTTTTATTAATTAAAATTAGGGTACTAAATAAGTTATTAGACCCCAAATTTTGACAACTCATTGAGGCTTCGAGCCAGGGTAATATGGAAAGATGATCAGAAAAGCATATTAAAATACCTAAATTCTCCTATTAACTCCTTGGACTCAAGGAGTTCTAGTCACAGCACTAAGTAGCTGTCCAAGAGACTCACTGCACCCAGAATTTCTATTTACTGAGACAACAGAAGAAGAGGGACACAGACCAATTGTGATGGGCGCTGATGCTATGAACAGTTACATGGAAGGCATCTGACATCTAAGCAAAGCAGACCTGCCTCAAAAGGCCAACCACCAGGCATCCAGAAGTTACTGAGGGAAGAACAAGTCTATCCCCCCCAATAGCACTAGCAATATCACACACTTTTTCCGTGCATCAGAGCATCTTTGTGGCTGAGAAGCTTGACAGATTTTTCAAGCTGGTGCAATGCTCTGAAGCATCCTCAAACAGAGTACTCCAGAGAGAACATAGTCTGAGTCCTTACCCTCCTGAATCAGAAAGGCAGAGATCCTCTTCTGCCAAGATGCTAGCCAACATAACGACAGCTCTTCCCCAGGTGTCGCCAAGGCACATTCCTTCAAGTGCAATCTGCTAGCCCTGCACATGTTGGTCTGACTGTTCCTTAGCTTGGAGAAGGGAAAAACATGTATCCAACACACATGCACAAATCTTTCTTACTCAAAGGCCTAGGGGACCAATACACAGCTCAGCCTTGTCACCTGACAGGCCTCAATCAAGCCAACTAAGACACTTATCCATAGATTAAAAAAAAATCTGAATATATTATAACGATGCTGTTAGCAAGAAGGGTCAAGCGAATGGAGCAACTTCAAATCCAATGTTCCTCCCTCTTTCCAAAAAAGCCTGTTTTCTCCTTGTGGAGACCTAAAGAAGCACTGATCTGAGCAAGAGCTTATGTCTGGCCTTTGCAGAGAGAATACATCCTTCAGTTAGCAGTGCAGAAAACAAGATGCTTGCAAGCCCAAACTAGTGGGAGGGGTGGGTGGGGGGAAGGAGGAAAGCATAGGGCATTAAAAACTGTTACTAAAGTGCAACAAATATCCTAAATACTTTGTAATGGATTGCAATAAGAGGTGCCTACAAAGCTTCAAACTTCCAGTTGGTGTAGGACACCTTAAAAAAGAAACAAAACAAAACAAAAAAAAAACCACCCCCCCACACAAACCAACCCCCTCTCCAAACTATGTAATAAACAGAAGCAGGAATTTAGGAGCCCTTTGGTGTAGCATGGAGTATGAGGCCACTACAAAGAGTTTCAACTCTTGGGGTCAAACAAGGTATTTAGAACATATTAAAAGAAACACAGGTGAACTTAAAGCAAAGGAAAAACTGAAATTCTTAAATCTTCAGTAAGGAAACAGTTAACTTTTTGGTATTTTCAAAACCATAGACTGGGCAGGCTGGCACAACTGTAACAGCAGCCACTTGACGAGGGAGAAGATGCGCCTTTGCGGAACCACTTTGGAAACTGCCGGTGGCACCTTCCGTATTCCATCAATACTTAGGCCTCAGTATTACTCCATTAATAAAAACAAATAGCCATATTCTTTCCAATTATTCTTCAGCCTGAAAGGAAAACACAAAACTGAAGCTAGATGAGAAATAGCTGGGAGGTGGAGGGAGGGTGGAGAGGGAGGAAGGGGGAGTTTTCATCAATTGGAGGCCAATCTCTTCAGCTTTGAGACTCCAGAAAGTTCATGTCTCAATGTCGCCTCATTTTAACTTTCCGGGCTGGACTTCCATCCTCCTCCTCCTCCTCATAGTCCTCCGTATACTCGTAAGACCTTCGCCAATAGTTCTCAGAGCTGAAGTTGCTCCTTCTCCTATGTTTTGGTAAGAGGACTGAGCGCCGGTTCTCCTCCTTATCCATTTCTAAAATCCGTGGCCTAAGGAAAAGAAGAAAAACATTTGGAGCAGACCCCCACTTGTGACGTAAGAAATGTGTCTCAGTAGCTGTGGTATTTAAGCTATAACTTCTTGCCTATGTTGACCAAATGGACCACTTGGAACTAGTGATACACGCCTTTAACCAATCAGCAATCTTACCAGTTTCAGTTAATGGTTAACTATTAAACTATGCTGCCGCTGGAGCCTAGGACTCCAGTGGAGTGTGACTGGTGGCAGCAGAGTCCCACATAAAATATGGAGGGGGGTGCAGTAGCAGCTGCATCCGGTTAAACTTTTGTGTAACTGATTTTACAATTGTATTGGTTACATGATTACTTTAACCAATATCTACCTCCTCCTTTGGAGCACATGGCAGACCTCTCTCAACACCGTCAGGTTACATCACTGCAGTGTTCCTACAAGCACAGAACTCCTGTGGAGTCCAACACTGGGAAAGCAGAATATAAAGTCACATGAAGGCTAAGGGGAGGGTTTTGCTTATAGTGATGTATGTTCCTTCTGAACCAAAATCACAAGTTATTAAAAGGCTCTTTATTTACTACTGAAACCAGTCAGCTACAAGAGAGCCCACCAAATTATGCAGCTGCAAGACCGATTTGATTTGAAGCGACCCAAGCAGTGTGGGACAAATGACAGAGTAAGAACATAACCTTCAGGTTAAGGAGAAACAACCCTCCCCATGTTGTACTGACATAGCGACTCTTGCAGGTCTATAAACTTTGTTCCTGTATGAGCAGTTGTGTTTATGGAGTGTAGTTTGCAATACATTTAGCTGTAACATATTTGTAGATGTGATTCTCCTCTTGCCTTATGCTCATACAATTATTCTGGGACTACTAGAGTGGAATATTACAGAAATAAGATTCCTTTCAACTGACTCACTGCAGCATGGGCTGAAACCTGTGGTAGTCAAGCCATGAAATTAAGCCAATCTTTTGGTTCTACATGATGTTAAGGAGTCTGAACTTTTGCTAAGGCTCAGGGACACCTCTGGGTGCCAGGGGTACTGGTTAGAATTTACACTGGACAGCTGGCTTTGAGCTGTCATGATTCTGTATCATAAGTGAGCCAACATTTTTTTTTTCCTGTAACAGGAATTCTCTCTCCCAGGTAGAAGTTATTATGTAGGCCAAATGAAACCTCCTTTTGGATAGGGTTCCATAAACACACTCTCAAGGCTGGCTCAGCTTCTGGAGCTGCTAAACTCACTGGACCACTTCCAGGAATAAGTCAGTGGTCAAATCCCTCTTGAAGCCAAATCCTGCAAGAGTTTGGGTATGCAAAGAATGCAGGATTGGGACCCAAACAGGCATGAGAAACATCACATGTACCTCCCGCCCCACTCTTCCCTGTTAGAGAAAACCTTTTATCCTGTAACAAAAAGTAGTAGTTTTATTTTATATAAGAGCTTGTCAATACAATTCAAAATTTAGCAGCAGGGAAACTTTATTGTCCTGAATGACTGTACTACCAATCGCAAGCTGAATTTATTGTTATTCAATCCAGACAACAAAAAGCCAAATAGCTTAAAATCCAAGCTCAGCTTTAAAGGTTTGGCTCTAAAAAAGCCATTTTGATTAATCAGACCTATATTTCCTAGGAAGTACGAGTGGAGTAGGCAGCCCTGAGACAGGAAAGGGGAGAAAACTTAAGCAGAACTTTAAATGCACAAGAAAAAAATGCCACGCTACATAGGACAGTTCAAGTTGCTATACAATAGCATTACAGGAATGATGGTGCGTTATCTTTGCAAGAATCATACCAAGGCCTATGAAATGGGCTGGTCTAACAACTGTGATTATTACCAAGCTCATGGGTGGGTGGCATTTACCATTATTTTGATACATGCCATGAAACTTCACACTTCACAGAGCAGACTCACTGAAGCCAGATCACAACTTTCACAAGCCTTCCTCCTACCTGTGAGCAGCATCAGGGTCTGCTTTGCGATGGGACCGCTTTGGTTTCAGGATCTGGTCCCTGTTGCTTCCTGACAGACGGTCAGAGGTGTAACCTGGTGACAACACAGAGCTACTCAGCGATTTTGTTTCCAATCGAGGAGCATCTAGTCTTGTTCTGTGAATGTTAAAAAAACAAAAACAAACGTTTCCAAAGAGTCTTTTGGGGACAATGCTGATGTATCAAAGTAGCCATTCTGCCTAGTCAAAGAGTAGATCCTGAGCCAGGCCTATCAGCCAGGTTAAGTGACAAGTCATTTTTGCCCTACGATATTTTGTCCTGCAATCCTCCCCCTTTAAACTCCCACTTCCCCTCTTAAAAAAAAAAAAAAAAAGTTTGCACAGGGTCTCACACACAGGTCACATATTGGCCTATATTAACTTGACTATTAATTCCAAAGGTTAATGACTGTTCAGCAACTTAAAAGTGATGAAGCAAAATTCTCACCTCTGAGCCATATTGCAATACAGGCAGTCCCCGGGTTACATACAAGATAGGGACTGTAGGTTTGTTCTTAAGTTGAATTTGTATGTAAGTCGGAACTGGTACATATTGTAGGGGAAACTCTAGCCAAACATTTCTCCAGAGCTCAGTTTTATTCTCCCACGCCTCACTTCCTCAGTCCTTTATTCTCAAGCTGAGGTGTCTGCTGAGAAAAGCCGCTCTGCATCTCCCTGGTCTGCTGGGGGGAAGCAGCTAGTGCGGGGTTGCCTCACCCCGTTTGTAAGTAGGGATCTGATGTAAGTCGGATCCATGCAACCCGGGGACTGCCTGTACTTCGCTTCACCACTGCGATCTCCCTACACATTGAGTGCTGTCATGGGGATCAAGAGAGCACACCAGTGCAAACCGCAGTTTTGCTGGAGACTGACACAGACTCAAATACCTAGTAGTCATCAGGTAACAGTCTGGAAGGAAGTTCAAGCAAGCAAGCTGCAACATGTCATCTCAACCAAAAAAAGATCTAATCAATTCTAGAATGGAACCATGCTAGTAGTTGCAGCAGTGTACAACAGGGTCTGACAAGCACAGCTTAATTAGAAAACAGAACAATTCTGTCCAACTGCGCTGTTTGCTCAGACATGGTTGTAGCTGGCTCGGTATGTGTGTCCAGGAAACAGAGCTTACAGAAACTATGCTACAGATTCAGGATTTGTACTATTGAGTACTCTGTATGTGGCTGCATCATGGTTATGCACAGATATAAGCCTTTGAAACCATGCACTACTGAAGCCACACAGGGACCTAAGCCTAGCATTAAAAAGCTTTAAAATAATGAGGTAATAGTGCATGCGGTGGAGATGATCCATGCAATCTCTATGAAACTCCAATTACAAGGCAAACCATCCTCTCCAGCAGCCCTTACCAGCTTACTCTCTTTGCAGCAGGTATGTGCTGACCAGTGAAAAAGGCCATGCCCACACAAAGTATGTAGGTTTGCCAATTGCACCATACAAAGGAAGTAGTGTCAGATTACTACGAGTCCAGATTACCTACCAGTATCCTACTGGAATTCAGACCCTAATCAATAAGTGAGAATTCGGAACTAATCCTAGTTAAACACTGAATGCAGACATAATGGCAGGTCATATGCTGACCCAGTTTATTGCCATTCCAGAACTATTCATCTTGGCTACGCTTACACTCGTGGCTTCTTGCGCGAGTAATATGCAAATGAGGCTAAGCATGGAATATTGCTGAGCCTCATTTGCATATCTAATGAGCCACCATTTTTTTCAGAAGAGGCTCTAGCGCAAGAAGGAGCATCTACACTGCCCCTTCTTGAGCAAGAAAAACCCTATTACTTTTCAGGAAGAACGGCAGTGTAGACGCTCCTCCTTGCGCAAGAGCCTTTTCTGAAAAAAAATGGTGGCTCATTAGACATGCAAATGAAGCTCAGCGATATTCCACGCTTAGCCTCATTTGCATATTACTCACACAAGAAGCTGCATTCCTCTTTCAAGAGAGGAATGCAAATGCAGGCAAGCGAAATTACAAATGAAGCACAGATTTGAATTTCCCGCGCTTCATTTGCATAATCGTGTCCAGCCACTATTTCGAAATACCCTATTTCGAGATAAAATAACAGCATCTACGCAGCATTTTTTAGAGAAAAAAACCCTTCTTTCAAAACAACCCTTAAACTTTTGAAAGATTTTTTTTCCCCCCTCGAAATAACTGCGTCTACACAGCGTTTATCATCTCGAAATAGCAGCCAGATGTGATTATGCAAATGAAGCACAGGAAATGCAAATGCGAGCTTCATTTGCAATTTCGCTCACCTGCATTTTCATTCCTCTGGAAAGAGGAATGCAGTGTAGACATACCCCAACATACCAAATATAACACAAGTTGTCTGTTTCTGATTAATGAAGGATACAAATGAGCGTTCTGAAAGGCACTGTCAGCTGAGCAACAGAACCTCAGTTTTTTCTCACCCCCAAGCACTTCATGAACAGATCATGCAAAAATGATTTTATGAGAGTCAACTTTTGGAGAGAGAATAAAGTGTCTGAGGGTGTGACATGATCTAACATTGGGGGTGGCTAATGGATTAAAACCCCCCACACATTTTGCACAGAAACTGAGACCTGCATTTCCAATCATACTTAAAGCTTTAATTGCATTCAAAATCTTGGCTTGAGCCCTCCAAGTCTTTAGTTTTTAAAAAAAGTGTAGCTAGGCAACAGAGGACATTAAAAAGGGAAAACACACACAAGCAAGTAAATTATGCAATCCTAATGTCAATTAACATAGGTTCCTTCTAATGTGGACAATATGCAATACGTGTTACAAAAAGCTTGAACTACCATTTGGAAACAACTTCCAAAGTGTATCTGAGCAGGTTTCACTAGGCTGCACTAACACAATGTTTATTTTCCCTGTTTAAAGTTATACAGGTTGAACCTCTCTAGTCCAACATCCTCAGGACCTGACTGGTGCCGAACCAGAGAATTTGCCAGACGACATGAGGTCAATATTGTCTAGCAGCATTACCAACACTTCTACTGCATATGGGGCTACCAAAAGACATTTAGGGGTAATCAGAGCTAAACAGCAGCACAGAACACTGAGAGCCAGCACTGGGAGCTGTAAAACATTATGGGACTGTGGGAAACTTGGCCACATCCATTGTAAGTGGACATCCAGCTAATTCAAATCATGCCAGACCACAGATGTTGCTGGACCAGAGAGGTTCAACCTGTACTTAAAAAAATAAAAAGAGGGTGTTGTGTTTACTTCACAGTTTCAACCCCCTAAGGGTCTCCAGCCTCTTAAGCTGAAGATAAATTCCAGCCCTTTCTGCTACCCTCATTAGGGATGTAAAGGACTAGTCGACTAGTCGCTTCCCCCCCCTTTGCTGCCTCTATCAGAGGGAGACAGCGAGGGGGAGAGGATGGGATACTTCAAAGTGGCAGTGCTGTTTGGAGCCTGGGACCAGACCCCAGGCTCCATGCAGCGCTGCTGTGTAGCCTAGGGCCAGCTGGAGCATTCCCAGGCTCCATGCCCTGCTTTCGCCTTTGAAGTGTAGCAACAGCCCTAGGGCAGTTGCTACACTTCAAAGGCAGAGGCGCCCTATCGACGAATTGAATGCACTGACGATTCAATTAGTCGATATTTAACATCCTTAACCCTCATTGCCCTGCATTCTAGTAACACAGGACACACTGTAAATATTATGTTCTAACTGCACTGAAGCATTTATGACCTACTTGGGAGCCATGCCGCGCTCAAAATATTCCACAAAACTGATCAAGCCTCAGAGCACTACTCCAATACACAGAGTTTTGTTCTACACTCACGATCAAAGAAGCAGAGTTTCTAACATGTCACATACAGACTGTATTCAGAAATGAAGATTCGATGTGGCGCCATCACCACATGGTTCGATATCCTTGTTCCTAACAACAAGGAAGTCTAAAGCTAGACACCCTTGCCATAATATATTTATCTTGGTGAAAAGTCAGATTCTCTGGCTATCTAAAGTGCATTCTTTCTGGAGGGTCTGCTTAGGACATCAGTATTATGATAGCCACAGACTACCTAAAGGAAGTAGCTATTTTCCTGGTTGTATGAACACACTATTAAAATCAGCAGCAGTCACATGATATAGGCTGTGATAACTTCACCATTGCAACCTGCGCTATGGGATGCAAGTGTTTAGAAAGATCCCTGCAGCATAGTGACGCAGACTAGGTTCAACAAGGAGCAGATGTCTTAGCATTACAATGTATACGCTGTAGCTAAATAAGCTGTAGCTTGCAAGGTCCATAGCATATCCTTTTGCAGCGTGCAATATTTGCATTTTAGGAACCACATCTGGTAGGTGCTAAGACTGTGGGAAAAGGGGAATCCCGCTCTATCTAAAAGGAATGCTAGAGTGGCATCCTTAGCTACTGGGCTGACTTGCATAGCGATCACATTCTTACTGGTGAAGGCATACAAGCTCCCATTGGGCTTTCTCCAGCCCTAACCTGGAGTGAGGCAGAATGCAGGATGCTCAAATACACAGGAGCATTCAACTTCGTTGACTAAATAGCAAGCTCCAGAGGCATTGTAAAGCAACCATTCCCACTACACTTCTACCAAGACATAAAAATCCCTGCACTCCCAGTGCCTGGTCTATACCAGAGAACTGCACGAGTTTAATATCTAGTTCAAATCTATTTAAACTGTAACGAAAGAGTCAGCCAGCTAAATCAGTGTAAACAAAGGAAATCTAGCTATTGAACTACACAAAAACAGAACCAAGAGGGAAAGGCATGTCCCCCAGTTTAAATCTATTTAGTTAAGCCAATGCTCTTCTGTAGCACAGATAAAGCCCTGGGCACCAGCCCCTCCTAAAGACAGGGCAGATGGATCATTGGCCTGATCCAGTAGGGCCACTCATGTTCTGAACCCTGGAAGGCCCATTTCTCCCACAATCCCACCAATGCATCTCAATCCTGACCTACTTTAACCCCCGCCCCTTCAAATATTTCAGAGGCTACAAAAATTGTGAGTAGCACAAGTGGCACTAGTCCAAATTTGTTTTGTGTCTCTGGCAGCAGCTAGTCTCAACCCTGCTGGTTTTAACTGCAGCAGCCTTGTGGTTCCTATTAAACACAGCAAAGCAATTCTATTAGACACACAATAGCATCTCTCTTGATGTCAGCTGATCTTCATAGATTTCTGGGCCAGAAGGGACCATTGATCTCTTGCTTTGTCAGCTTCACACCTCTGCCCTTTGTCTCCACAAGCTGATTTTGCCTCACTAATGTCTCCGGGCTGCAGCTTGTCTTGGTCTTGTGTCATGGCTTCTAATTAGTTGTCTAAATACACCATATCCACTGGATCACCAGTGTCCACTTGACTGCTGACACACTTGAAGAATTCTAATACATTGATGAGATACGATTTCCCTTTACAAAACTATATTGAGTGTTCTTCAACATACCGTGTTTATCTGTGTATGGTAAACATTCTTTACTGTAGCTTCCACCAATTTGCCTAATGAGGAAATTAAGCTTGAACTGAGACCAAAAATTTAGGGTTTTACAAGGCTGTCTTTTTTTTTTTTTTTAAAGGGCAGCCAACAAAAGCCAGCTGTTTAGATGTAAACATAACCCTCTATAGTGATTTTCAAACTCAAACTTTTTTCTGGGTAGGTAAAAAGCAGTTGCATAAGATAGAAAATGAACCCAAGAAAAAGTCAGACCCAGGCAGTCTATTTTCATTGTTCAAAACAAGTATAGTAAGTAGTCAGATATTTAAGATTCAAAGTGTTATAAAATATTAGAACACTCAACAAGTGATTTACCATTCAATACTAGCCCTTTAAAAATGTTCTGAAGTAACAGAGTGCTAGAGAGAGTCAACTGTATTCTTTCTTCCTTGATCCCCCCCAAACTCTTTAACACTTACTTTCTGAGGATGATGACAGCTCTCCTCTCCTTGATGTCTTGGGGTCGAATGCAGTGCGTGATTTCATCAGCTGCATATCCACTGGGAAAAACAAAAACAAAAAGCCAAGAGCTATGAGTATTGCTGGTAAGCTGATCATTCCCAGTTTCAGAGAATCAAGCACCTCTACCTACTCTCTAACTCCCATGGTGCAGTTCTTTAATTTGTTTGCAGAACAGTATGAAGTTTAAGTGATCAGCCTTATGTACTTTTTGCTTTCAAGTTCAGGCAGGCTGAGAAAAACAGAGACATTACCTTTTCCGGTCCTGGTAATTTTCTGCCACGGTGTGTAAATACACATCTAAATAAATGAGCATGAACCACTGATTCATAAATAGTGATATTTAAAGTGTGATTACAGAGAGTAAAGTCAGCAGCCTCCTTTAGTGACGGATGATCAGAAGAACTTAAATGAGCAACGTAACACCATCCCATTACCAAAGGGGATAGTCCCATGTAATTCCCTGCATAGAAAGCCATCTCAATAATAACGGATATTAATGCAGGCAAGCTGCAGACAACTGTTGATTACTGGATTTTGTCTTAACTTCCCTTAACTGTTGTGGCTTTGGGATGACAGGTGAATTTTACCAGGAGTTTTAGCCCGGTGCAAGGCAGAGTTGCAAGAAGGGGGCAGAGAAAGAATGCCCTTGCACTAGAAAGACCAACCTGTTTCTCCAACAAGTTAAGGTACTTCCCTGCATTCCACAGCCACTCCTTGCTCTGTTGCTTGCTTGAGGCAGCTGACTGCCCTCCTACGGAGCCACAGTTATTTTACTACTGAAGTTATCAAGGCCCAGACGCATGCTTGAAGATGACTTAGCTAGACTTGTGTCTTTAGACTAATTTCAGGAAACCAACCTACTGCCAGTAAACACATCTCTTTAGAATTCACTAAAAAGGAAACCATGAGAACAGAAAAGTATAGTTTTCAGAGTTCAGTGCAATCAGCAAGGTATGCAGGCTGGAGGCAGCAAGGAGTGGGGTGGGGAGAGGGTGCTTCAAAGCGGCAGCGCTGCGTACAAGCCCAGGGCCAGACCCTGGGGTCCACACGGCACTGCAGGTTTGAAACCCTGCAGGGAGCACAGAGCCGGGGGGGGGAGAGGATGGACTGCTTGAGTCCCCCGCTGGCCCCAAGCTCCCTGCAGCGCTTTCACCTTTGAATCGTAGCAACAGTCCTGGGGCTTTTGCTACACTTCAAAGGTGGAGGCGCCCTATTTGACTAATTGAATAGTCAATGCAAATTGCATCGACTGTTCAATTAGCCAATTAATCTAAATTTAACATCCCTAGTCTGAAGCAGGGGACTGCAGGTTACTCAAGCAAGTCTATTCAGAGAAGCATAGATGGCACAGGACAGCTCCTGTTACATGCATGGAGTTATCCAGTAGATGGGTCCCCAGACTCCCAGAGAGAGCACACTACCTTTTGCTCCTTCCAAGAAGGTTTTTATTGTTTCTTGGACTGAGAGTCTCACACTGATCCTTCCAGAATGTTTTATTCAGGTGTAACCCAGAATGAGGAAGTGTGATGCAATGGCGCTTATTACGGGGCTCTATTATGTTTCAGTACCTTTTCTCCTAGCGCCAGGGAAGCAATTAAAGATCAGCTCACCCACATTAGCACTGATCTTAAGAGAACCCCAATAATGCCTTTGATTTAAGGAAACAAACCAATTTAAGGTTGAACGCTCCTCCATGTCAAGCAGGTACACTCCAGAGAGGAGTTAAATGCCAACTTGAAACCAAAGGGTCTCGTGACTACAGACAGGTAACAGGTAGTGGTGCAAGGACTGTAAACCTAGATATGCTGCCTCCCTGCGCCAAGAGGCATATGCCAAGATGGCAGCAATAAGCTCCCAAGGCTGGTCTGCCCAAGCTCCATGCAGAAGAAACAGACGTTAAATCTGAAATAGCAAAGTGAATGCATTCTGTCCCTCAGTAGCCCCATACTGAACAGTCAGCAGGGTAAGAATTAGCAAAACAAAAAGTGTCTTGTTTTTCTCAAGTAAGGATGTAAAATCCAGTTTAACAGGGTAACTAATTAGACAATGTTTAATCGGTTAACTGATTAAAAGAGACGGCAAACTGGGGGACTGCTCCAGAGGAGGGATGTAATAGTGTAGTTGATTAACCAATAAGCTTAAGCTTATCGGTTAATGCTATAGACAACACACATTTCCCCAGCCCCCCCGCTAATACATTTTTTAGCAGGCTGGCCAGAAAGCCACGTCCAGAACCTGCCCCTACTGTGTCTCTGCATTTAAAGTGTATTTGAGCCAGGCTGCCTGCTCGCTCAGCTTCTGTCCTGACTTGCACTGGCTCGGAGACCTACCCCCACGGTGGCTAGGATCCAGATGGGCAGGCAGCCTTGCTGAGTTCTGGCTCGTGCCAAGTCCAGGAGCTCACACCCCACTCTGGACAGGGGCTGCTGCACAGAGGCAGCAGCACGAGGTGACAGGCAGCTGGTCTGCATGGGGAGTTTATTTTTAAACTGGCTCCCCTCACGGACCAGCTCCCGCCTAGCACCCCATGCTGCTGCCTCTGTATCAGAGGCAGCAGCTGAGTTGCAGGGGGCTCCTTTGGAGTGGGACCAGAGTGCACTGGCTGCCAGCTCCACCCCCAGGGACTACAGAATAGTTGAGTAACCGATAAGAATTCATGGAGGTTAATTGACTGTTCAATTAACTAATATTGAACATCCCTACTCCAGACCCCACCACTGGGCTGGAACTCCCCCTCCCAGACCGGGGTTGCTCCAGCCCGGCAACTGCAGCCCTCCTGCTGGGCCCTCCACAGGCAGGAGCGAAGTCCCTATTGCTCAGTCAGACAGCTATGTCCCTGAGCCTCTCAAGAACACTAATCCTGAAGCTGTAAAGCAAACATTCATTCCTCCTCATTGCATCTCTGAGAGAATATTGCACTTTTATTCCATGTTCTACTGAATGTTTCCTTTGGGACTTTGGTCAAATACCTGAACCTGCATGCCTCTGTTTACCCATCTGTAAAATGGGATAAATACATACCTCATGGAGGGAGGGGGAGAAGAAAGGCTTAACTTACTGTCTGAAATGACTTCAGTTTCTCAGCGATACCATCTAGTACAAGTAGAAGTTTTATCCTAATTTCACCGACAGGGAAACTGAAGTGCTGCCTGTTTAAGCGCATTGCGCATGACTGGTATTCCAGTTGCATACCATGCCTGTTAGAGAACATATTACAGCTGCTCACTCTAACAAGGAAATGTTCCCAATGAAGTCTGACCCAGGCACTGCCATTCCTTAGTCCAAGGAATTGCTGAGAGATACGGGGTATTCATCTCTGGTGAAGCAGAGCATATTCCCCACACACTGTCACAACCTCAACCCCGATGGAAAGAGACACACAAGCGTTCTACTTGTTACTGCCAGTGCAAGTTATTAGGGTACTAGACAAAGTGTGTTTGAAAGTGTCCAAAAGAGCTGACAATCTCAAAGGGCTTTGCATCTTACTTCATCACCATAAAGTATCTATAGATATGAAATCACTGGCTGTTTGGTTTAAGGCCTCAGCCTTATTTTCAGTGATTTAGAAGGCGCTCTTCTTCACTGACTCAGCTGACTGGACTCTACAGGTTGGAGCAGAGCTTCAAAAACCTACACGTTTACTTAGCACTGATGAGCATGACGTTTCCACTGATAAGCAAGGGGATCCACACTCAGTTCTGAGGTTTAAGCTCTCTTTTAATAAAGTTTCTAAATAGCTAGGAAAGATATTTTGCAACTATAAGGAAAACAGGCTCATCTGGAGCCTTGCTCTGTAGCAGGAGAATGAAACTAACATCTTGTCAGTTTCAGACTGGCGAGCAAGCCAGGAGCATAGGCTGAGGCAAGTCCAAAGAATGGCATGGGGAAGGAATGTGCTAGAGAGCTTCCCCTCATAGCAACCAGGAGGTTCAGGGGAATCAAAAGTAGAAAGAAAGCCCCCTCTCCCCCCCTTACATTAACTAAATGGGGACTGGTTGGGAGCATCTTTACCCTAAGACTGACATAAGTGATGTAGTTCTGCCACTCCAGCAAAGTTCAGACATAGCACCTAACTAGGGATTTTACTACCGGTTAATTGAATAGTCGAGTAACCTCATAAATTCTTATCGGTTAGTCAACTATTCTATAGTCCCTGAGGGTGGAACTGGCAGCCAGTGCGCTCCGGCCTCACTCCAGAGGAGCCCTCTGTCACTCCATGCTGCTTCCTCTGTATCAGGGGAAGGGAGGGGAGCCAGTTTAAAAATCAGCTCCGCTTGCTGACTGGCTGTTTGTCACCCAATGCTGCTGCCTCTGATAAAGTGGCAGCAGTGCGGGGTGGTAGCAGACCCTGTCTAGGGGACGCCTGAGCTCCCAGACTCCACGTGAGCAGGAACTGAGCTTGGCTGCCTGCCCATACAGCTCCTAATACACTTCAAATGTAGAGTCACAGCGGGGATAGGGCCCGGACCCAGCATGAGCCAGGACTGAACTGGGCTGCCTTCCTGCCCAGCACCTAATACACTTTAAATGCAGAGCTGCAGCGAGGTAGGCCCCAGACCCGTTGCAAGCCAGGCGTGAGCCAGGCTGCTGGCCAGCCTGCTAAAAAAAATGTACTGGGAGGAAGAGGGAAATGTGTGTCGTCTATGGCATTAAACCTATAAGTTTTTGCTTATTGGTTAATCCACTACACTGTTACAGCCCTACACCTAACTCCAGATGCTAGGTTTCTAGTGTGGGCATTACTCGTGAAATTCACTGATGTTCCCTCTCGTGAACATCTCCATTAATGGGCTCTGGCTAGGAAATCTATTCTCTAGGTAACATAAGCCTAATAATTTGCCTTCAGGACCCACGCTGAAAGATGTATCCTTAGCAAAGAGATAAAGATCTGCTTTCTGCTGAATGTTGTACATTGTGAAGATCAGCCCACATTTCCAGACAGTCTAATATCCATGGTGATATACCAATATTATCAAGACATGTTGTTCGATATAATACAGCTCTCCCATTATGCAAGTGATTTATTTGGGGCGGGGGGGGAGGAAGGGGGAAGAGGGGGAAGACAGTCAAGGTATTCTCCTTCCATCAAGGCAGTCTCGGAAAGCCTGGGAAGCAGTTATATTCCTACCACTGCCTCCTGCACACTAGACCTGTCCTACTGATACTGAGATTCCTTTTAAAAAAGGAAACTAAATATGGCTGAGTTTGTAATCAACAGCATCTAGGCTACAATGCGCGGCACTGAAACGACACCCAGCTTGATTCAGACTTCCTAATGGGAAAAGAAATACAACAATCAGTTGAAAGGTGGAGAGAAGAGAGGTTTCAAGTTGACCTTTTTCAACAGGAGCTAAAGTACCATTAGAGCTTGGAAGGAGGGATGAGAAGCAGCAAGAAGTGACCCTTCCTTCATATCCCCTCCACACAAGCCTCCAAAAACTCTACTGCCAAATGAAAGAAGGTGTAGGCCACAGAAGCAGAATGAGTGGAAGGGGAAAATGGGTGGCTTCAAGGTCAGAATGAAACCACAGAGAGCTCTAAGAGCCAGAAAGGAACACAGTAAAGGGGACACAGAAAGGGACAAAGAGAGAGGTGGGAAAGTGAATTAAAATGAGAGGGAGAGATGCAGCTTCTTTGACAGTTCTCACGTAGACCTAACACACCAGGGGTGAGGAGCCTTGTGTGTGTCAGGGGCCGCTGAGCCACAGAAACATCAGCTGGAGGCCACACCAATGAGGAAAAAACCCCTCCCTCACTGACATGGCCCCCGACTGAGAAGCAGAAAGACAGACACTCCCCGCATTCCTCTTGCACACCTGCCCCAGAGCAGAGTGTGTGTAAGAAGCAGTGGGGGGAATGCTCCCCTTTGCAGTTCCCTGGGGATGCACATGGCTCCGTGGCCCACACCACTCTCAGGCACTGCTCCAACTGGCTGCGATTCTGGCCAGTCAGTGCAGTGGGGGCAAAGCCTCCAGGCAGCACTCCCCAACCCCGCTGTTTCTCCAGTCATGGGGAGCGGCAGTGCACAGAGCTGCTGCTGCCTCCTCCTGCCAGGCAGAGCCCATGGGTTGGACCTGGCCTCGACTTGCCTGATTCCTGCAAGGCTTGGGGCTCTCCAGACATGTTGGGGGGTGGGGCAGGCCTGAAGTGCCATCACCAGCTCCCTGATGCTGGGTGGTGGTGGGGCGCCCCAAGCCTCAGAGGCTGGATCCAGGCAATTAGTGGGCCATAGGCTCCCTGCCCCTCTAATACATGCAGCCAAATAAATGCTGCTATGCTGGCTTCCCAGGAACATAGTCCTGCTGAGAACAACCACTGATCCAGCAATACCCGAGTCACACAGACCTTTTTATCAGCATGTTACTTCTACCCACACAGCTTCCCTGTTTTCAGAACAACTGCCTTCAGGAACTACACTTGAACCTCTTCAATCCGGCACCCCACAGGAAACAGGGTTTGCTGGACTGAAGATTTTGGCAGGCCAGGGAGTTTGGGGTGGGGGGCTTACCTGGCAAGCCACTCCCAGGCACTGTACCCCCCCTCCCAGCCCTGCCACAATGGGAGTGGCTGGGGGAAAAATTCCCTGGCACAGCACAGCTCTTCCCCCAGCTGGCAGGAGGGGAAGTAGCAGTGGCAGAACCGCTTCTGCCTGCTGGGGTCCGTACCACAGGTGTTCCCAAATTAGGGACATCTGGAGTATGGCGATTATAGTGTACGTACTTGGATTTACACACACACACACACACACACACACACACACACACACACACACCCCCTCTCCCCCTCAGTTTGGAGAACTGACTACAACGTGCCGGAGAGGACTGGCTCATAGGCTTCATGTTCAGCAGAATCTAGAAGGCTTGCAAGTCATGTTCATTCTCTAACCTGGCAACTTTAACAAAGTTATTACAACTTTGATGCAGCCTGGATCACAATATCACAATCCAATCCCTCCAGCAGGTTGTCCTATAAGAGCTAAATATTGACTAACTGCTGCATTTAAAGGGAAATAAGCCCCATTTTAAAATATTGTTTACCGGAAACTAAATCTCTCATCTTGGATTAAGCAAATTAATTCCATCAATGTTTCAGTAACTCTCAAAGCACAATTCAGAAATCTGTTTTAGTTCTATGCTTGTCTCAGTTATTTGTCGATACAGAGCTGATGTCCTCCAATACGAGGCCACGAAAGTTCTGAAGTTAACTTAATTGGGAGCAGGAACAGACCGATATTCTTCCATTTACACTTCTCCAGATAAAATGCTTCGCAACAATGTAAGATTTACTATTCCAGATAAACTGTTAGTCCATCAAGGCAGGGGATCCTGTCTCTGGCAGTCTCTAGGACCTCATCGCAGGCCAATATTCACCACTGGAATGAGCAGGTAGGATTTAGTTAGCTCTCAGAGAGCAGTGCTCACTTACCTGTCAATTTTCTATCTCCACTAGTCTAAAAGTCATGTAACACAGGTGATGTTGGGGAGAATGAGCTAATATTTGTGCAGCAGTTTAGAGATACAAAGCAGTAAGTACTATCTGTTATTAACACACCTGGTCACTTGTACAATGCTATATGTACATGAAGAGGGAAATTCCTTCCTGACCCCCTGCAGCAATCATTTTGCAAGCCAAAGCATGACATGGTATTATACGCACACTGCCTTGCTGCCAGCATGCACGTTTACCAGCTCATACAATAGCTAAAATACTTCCCTTTGGCATTGCTGAAAAAGTTAGGGATATTTGGCTATCCGTGTCAAATGAAGTTTGCAGGACTGCCGTTAGCTTAAGGGCCGTACTATAAAAGTTGATCATAAAATTATGCACTCCCAACATCTGACTTCCTCCTTCCTGTGGCACCTAAAAACCCACCTGCTCCACAAAAACACATGCAACTTAACTGGCTGTTCCCTGTGCCAACCTCAACATTCTTTATGTAGTTAAGAGAGGAGGCATGACCCAGAGGACAGAAAAAGAAATTAGTAGGTAGGCTCTTCCAAGTCCCAATCCTGGCTTTACTAGTGACTTGCTGCATGACCTTGGGCAGATCATCTGACTTCTGTGGCTGTTTTCCCATCTGTAAAGGGGGAACAGGGAGAACCTTCCTGTACCTATGAGACAGGGCTGCTGTGCAGTTTATACTGGGACTACACAATTTGCACTTGCATACACAGGAGATCTCAGAGTATTCTGCACAAAGTCAGCTAAGATTTCATATCCCCACTTTACAGATGGAGAACAAAAACGAGGCCACCTCACCTCTCTGTTTACAGTCACACAGGAAGTCAGGATTTCTGGGTTCTATTCTTAGCTTGGTCACCAACGCCTAAATCAGTTGCTCCATAACAAACATACTGCTGGGCAGGGGCTCCATTTTATGTCTCCCTGTGTATCCTGACCCTAGATAGCAGTCAGCGTCAATCCACTAACATTCCACACGCAGACAGATTCTTATTGAGGCCCCTGCAAATGGGCTTGTCTTCCTCCTAGGCCTAGCTGCGTCACTGTCTGCTGCTCGAGCTGAATCACTGCTCTCACCTGACCCTCACTGATCATGAAGCCTCAGTCCCAAATTTCTTTCCTTAATCCTGACACTCAGTGGAAAGCCCATGTGTTTATGATGCAATATAAACAATTCAGGCATGTTAAAAAGTCTTGGGGGTAGCCAGGTTAGTCTGTAACTTTAAAAACAAGTAGTCCTGTGGCACCTTAGAGACTAACCAAAAATATATAGAATCACGAGCTTTGGTGGGTTTAAAAAAAAAAAAAAAAAAAAAAATCAGGCATGTATTTTTGCTGATGTTTGTTTGTGTAACTTGTGTCTCTATTAAGCTACTAAGGAGACTCAGGTTTAGCTGCTGAAACTCAGAGGCCTTCCACTTAGTTACCTTAGTACAGTGACACTTCCTCTCCTCACTGGCAGGAACAAGACGGGTTCGGAGACTCTGATGGGCTTGAACTGGAACTTACACCCAAAGCAGAGCGCAGAGTCGCTGAAGAAAGACACAGAGACGATGGGCCTCTCAAAGATGTGGATAGGGTCCACGTGGGAGACGATGCAGCCACCGGGCTGGTAGTCGTTGATCACGGCACTGTTCACAAAGCCCTCAGGAATCACCCTGTGCTCCACCAGCTTCCGGATCACCAGGTCATGCACCCACTCAGGGATGGCATCCACTTCCCCCTGAGGGTACAACCTTTCCTGACCAGGGCCTCGCCTCTGAAGCTGGGACCCATACGTATAGCCCTCTCCAAAGAAATATTTGTTCCGAAGAGGGGCCCTGTCCACCGTATGCTCTTTATAGAGGCCTTTCTCAGCTCTAGATACCACGTCCTCGATCCGAGCTTCGATCTTGGCACATTCATCTGGGCTGAAGAGACGAAGCTGCCGGATGCCACTTTTGACTTTCCGGGCCTCCTCCTCTTCCTTCTGCTGCTCTTCATAGTCACTGGGCTCAGAGTCTGAGTCCTCATGGTACTTGCGTTTGCGCTCTGTGGCAGCAGCACCCCCAACTGCCCCATAGGGGGACTCTGTGGGTTCCCGCAGGCTGCTGCCTTTGTAGTTGTCCCGATAAGGCATCATGGACTTCAGCTTCTCTCGCAGGTCTGTGTAGCCACTCCCCGCCATGGTGCGTTTGCAACCCACCTCCTCTACTGATCTTCTCGGTGCACGACTCTTTGGGTTAAAGAGTGGGAAGTGCTGCTGCTATTCATGGCCTCCCTGTCCTGCTGGGATAGCTCCAAAAGGAAAGAGATCCACAGAGCAGATTCTATATTCCAATTCCGCACACAGGGCACCCACCCAACTCACTGCTTTGGTGGTGGTGGGGGTGGGGTGGG